TGAAGAATGACGTGAATAGTCAAAGAAATTTATTATTATTATGGGATACTGCCGGGCCCAAGCCCAGATAAACGAGGAGGGTTGGGTATGGGGTTAGCGACACCATCCCGTAGAAAACAAACTCGCTAAAAAGGGCTAACAAACAGTGAACATCTAACACACAATCATGTTCATCAAACTGTATGATTTAATTAGAAATTAGAAAATTCTCACGAATTCACATCTCATGAAGCGTAATACTTAGTTAAGAGTTCAACTGACAAAATAGACGAGGAGGAAATAACACACATTAAAGAATGACGTATAAAACGTGAATTGTCGAAGAAATTTATTATGAAGTCTATGTGGAAGAGAATGATAATGATCGGTTATTTTCTTAGTCGAACTTGTCAATAGTCTGACATGCATAAGATCAGTTATATATTCCTCCATCCTTATTATTATTATTATTATTATTACTGACTGACTATTGGTTGCTGTTGGATTGTTGTCGGTTTTTGGTGTGGAAATATATTTACGTTCTAGTCAGGTTTAACACTTGTTCGTGAACTGAGTTTTGTTGAAGTCCTGTACAATAGACACTGAGAGGGAATCTAGTGTAGATATTTGTTTAAGGTAAATTAACGTTCCATTTGTGTAAACATGGAAAATCAAGCGTTAAAGCAGGACGGTTTCAAGCAAACAACTGTTCACAAGAGAAATTCATCCATCTTATTGTCAAAAGTGAGGAGATTCCAAGTAGAATTGATAATATAATTAAAGCAGAGCTAAACTGAACTTGACCTCAAAATCATCTATTCTCATTGTGTAACACTAGATCTTCCATAAACTAGTCAAAAGTGAATCAATACACTTCTGATGTTACCTTCAAATATCCATCCATTAACTGACATGTACTTGTATAATGATGTACATAGGAAGGACTGAATGAAAGGTATTTACAAGGTTTTCTGAGCATATTCTTTGAATGCTGTGTTTTGAAAGAAGTATAATGTTCACATGTGCTGTCGCTTGACATATAATGAATAGTGGACACAACATCAATGTTACAAAGCCGTTTACAATGACTAGCAAGCAGCGAACACCATTTCTATTCCGTATTATAGAGGCAACCAATATCAAATGTTTTCAACCTGATCTTTGTATACGGAATGTGTAGTGAACGTCTCATTGTTAAAGTAAGATAGTTACATTACTTAACATTGATCAATTACATTATCTTTTTATTTTGAAAAAACCTTTCCCTCGGACAAACACTCTTCACATTAACTTTTATTCAATGCCAATAAAGTTGTGCGACTACATTAATCATTTGTTGACAAGTGGTTCTGATTCATCGTCCCTTTATCATTACACTGAATAGAAACTGTGAGGAAAATGGTGAATAGTCAATGATCACAATCACTTATGTGAGGTCAATCTACAAATGAACGTGAATAAATATGACTGTATCAGGAGCATATTGCAAATCGAGTTAAAACAACTGGAAATCTATCTTCGATTATTTCGCGTTTATCCAGACAATTAGTTACCGTGTAAATTCGTGTCAGCGTGATTTATTATTATTATCTATGTCAATGAACTTGATCCAATTCTCTATAAAACTATCATGCCAAACAGGTTGTTTCCGAGTTCCGTTAAACGAACTCACACTAGTTAGATAATCACTATATCGAGGAAGCTCTGTACAGCTGATTCGATCAACAATCATTCCACATCAAGACGAAACAATTGTCCTCCACTTCCTCCTTATCAGTGATCGCCTAATACCAGTGGCTCAAACTTATGAAACTCCAAATTCAACAATCTCCATAACACTCACTAACATCACGTTCCTTTCGCTTGCATGCTGTTTCCTAACACACTAATCACTCATCATGTTAATTAGAAAAATACACCGGTAAGTATCAATCAATCATTTGTATTGACCTATTTCATCCAAATTCATCCCACAAACAGTAAAAGAACAAGTGATTACGCATAACATGTATTTGATGTGAAATATCAACTAAATGAGTTCATCAAAATATTATTGACGAATTACTTCGTCTAACATAACACATAAAATACATCACTGTTGTGGATAATACATTGATGGACTGTCAGTTGAGCCGATCGATTCAGGTAAATCATACGGTCGATATGTGTTCTGGTAGTTCATCGGATACATTGGATAATCTGTGACCGGTCCATAGTATGGTGGTCTTGAATTTCCAAATTGATTATAACCCATATATGCATCAGCTTCTTGTCGTCCACCCATCATGCTCTGGATGTAATTTTGCAAATGAGACAGTAATGTTGAGACGATATTCTGTACTTCATAGTCATTCATGCCTTCATTGTTGGACATTATTGGCATGTTCACAGGCATTCCGTTGGGCATGAACATTCTTTTGATGACTGCATTCTCAACCAAATCACAGTAAACCACCAGAATGAACAACACACCAAACGATATGAAGATCTGCTTTGTCATCATAACAAACGATCGGAAAGTAAGATCTGAAAGAACCAATTCATGTTTATTCAAACAGTGATGACAACAAGTGGTGTTGAAGTTGAGTGTCATACATCCCCACATGTTCTCACTCACTCTTACTCACATAACAGCCTGAGACTATTATTCGACAAGCCACACAATTACCTATTTGTGCTTATCCATAGAAACAAGTTGAATTAGGAAAAGCGAACAGATAATCGACCAAATCATACTGCAACATCTTCAGTGGTTATCAACTTATACGACACTATACAATGCACATATAAGAAAATGTGATGTCAGTGAATTGGTTTAGTGGAGAATGCCGATGAAATTACTCGACGTCAAGTATAATCAGCTTATTGGAAACTCTGTGTTTCAAGCAGGAAATCGTCACCTCATCACTAATTGGTGCAAGTAGGGGTGACTAATAGTGACTTTGGGCAAATCCATCAAGTCAATATAATCGACAATCATTATGCAATAACAAGGATCTAACCTCTCACATGCTTCAATTCTCATCAGTTCAGTTGACATTTTCAACTCAACTCAAACAATATTCTCCATTCTGCCTCACTAGTCTTCCAGGATAATCGAGTTTACACACAAACACTTCATTTCATACCACTTTTCAATCAGAATTCTACATTCCGAAAGTTACGTGTTTCGATCGGCATATCATCAACTACTCTAAGTAGATCGTGGTCACTACACATGGTGAATGTATAGGTGGGATACATGACATCCAACCTGTTCATTGTTTCAATGGAAATCATCAGTATCACTCGTCTTGTTCTGTCCTCGTCTAACGACACCAGTTAAACAATACAAAAACAATAGGAGGGGAAGTAATTGACAGAATTCAAGAGTCTACATCAGCATTTTTCAAACGACGCATTGCACTCATCGACACTCTCTCTTCCAATCCTTTACTAAACTCAAACAACATTCAAATATGATATTTCTGTTGAAGTACGAGTTCCATTATGTTGACTGGATTGAAGTGATTCATCAAAATACTTCGTGATAAAATAAACTCATTTACTCGACAGACAATCAACGTTTAATTCAAATAAACATCTATCTTCAAACACTGTCATGATAAACATCTCATCTCACCTACCTCAATTCACTTTTCTTATTTTAACTTTGTATTGATAAGTTTACACGTTTCAAACTCACTCATATTTATATGTGTATATCCATCCACGTCAACGAACACCATTCTTATTGTTTACCCAATCAACAATCATCTCCTCGAAATACTACACCAGCATCTGTTCACAAAAATAATAATGTCAATCTCGAATCAACTAACAAATAGATTGGATGCTGGTCAAGTTGCATTTGCACAATGATAGCCCGTATATTTTTGAATAGTATTTGTGTCATTTCGAGTAACAGTTTGACAATTATTTGACTAGTGAGCAAAATAAATCACCAGATAGCGAACACTTGATTTGATTGGGACTGAATGTTTCCAATAGACTGGGATTTTATCGCTGGTACAAATGTTCTGACTGACGACAAATTTTCCGTCTGAACTGCTATCTTTTAATGTATATTGGGAAAATCAGTGTATTAAAGCACTGACTTGTTCGATTGCAGGAGAACTGTCTCAGTTAGCTATCAGATCTCTGTATCGAAAGAGATAGTCGTCGTAACACTCACATCAAAATGATGTGCGTAGTTTCAGTGTTTTGTTGTAAACACATTTACAAATGAATAATGTCACAGATATCAGAATCAATATATATGCTACAGATGTATATCTCTGATGGTACATCCATTAAATGTCGCTTCATTTCTGATTTCGCATTTGTGTCTTCATGTCCATAACTCATGGTACGAGGTAAAATAACCATGATAAATATCTGAGTAGTAACGATAATAGCAGTATCGATGACGGTAATAAAGTACACATAGATATCATGTTTCGAAGGAATAAAATAAACGAGTAAATTATGTGAGATATAGTTTGCATTAAAAATTAAGTCCTAAGTAAATTGGATAATTAGTAGTGATACTGATTTCGAGATATAGCATCGATGGTATCCACTCATTCACTCACTCACTCACTCACTCACTCACTCACTCACTCACTCACTCACTCACTCACTCACTCACTCACTCACTCACTCACTCACTCACTCACTCACTCACTCACTCACTCACTCACTCACTCACTCACTCACTCACTCACTCACTCACTCACTCACTCACTCACTCACTCACTCACTCACTCACTCACTCACCAACCACCATAATCGTGTGCATATCAATTCAGTAACACAATAGTACACTTGAGTTGAAAGCTTGTGCCACAATGCAAATAAGACAGTGGACAAACGTACGCCACACAAATCGAGTTCAGGTGATGATGACCAACAACTTCATCAACCCATTTCACATATCGAATTATCAGCCCATGTATGAGGTCGCCACAAATAACTCAATTGTCCTAACAATCTGTGGTAAAGCATTGAAGGATTTCATGATCAAGCATTAGTGAACTGATATGTCCACGTCGCCTGAAATCGACGAACCACAACAATCCCCACGATTCGAACTAAGAGTATCAGTTCATATCAATTTTATACAACATCATCGTTCCTCGAATGAAAATCACACTCAAATCAAGTAAAGTTACACCGAATAAAATATCACACTGCAAAACATGAACAAATACTACACTGAATAATCATCATATTGAATTAACAAAACGGCCATAAAATGGAATAACAATCACAATGAGTCAAATAAACAAAATTCCATTTTGTCATTTTATCCCGATCTATCAGAAACAACACGCACGTTCATTCATCAGAGGTCGGTCCAACAAACCGGATGACGTGTCTGTGAGATAATCACATTTTCAAACAATCACATTCACTACACAATTCTTAGTCATACTAATTTTCGAGTAACATCATGCATTATGCATGAGAAGAACACATCGTTACACAAAAGCAACTCCACATTCTGTATTTTGACAACGTCTTACTCACTCAGAATGCATCGATTGAGTACATTGGCTCGATGAGTGATCTGTACTTAGGAGATCATTCTCAATCGAGTCAAATGCAAACGACTGATATTTCTAGGTTGATATACATGAGAAAATGAAATATGAATAGATGAAATGGACAATCTTATCAGATTTCGTTTGACATTCCCATCTCTGATGACATCTTAACATGAGCATAATTCGATGTGTAGCGAAAAGCATTTACGAAGATTGTTCACTAGTTCAATATGAATTGTTAGAACATTCGCTGTCTCAGGAACCTACAATCGACGAAAGTCTCTCACCGATTGATACTAACTGAATTCCAGTTCTAGATTTTATCATTTCACGTTTCACAAATAAATGTGTTGGTCGAACACATGTAGGTGAATAACACATGAGGATATTGCTCTTCATACAAACACATTGATATGTCAATAATTCCGATGAATGAGTGTTGATAGATGTCACACTCAGTGGTATTTGTGCGCATAGTGGAGGAACAGTGAGAGAGATGTGACGAACTCTCGATTCATGCACAACTCAGTTCTAGATGTATCTCATCTATATTGAAAGCAAGTGAAAGATCTGACATATTATGACAAACATATTGTTTGATGTCAACTGGACAAGTGAGAAGTGTGACCAAATTCCTACCTACTGTGAATGGATATTCAATGACAGTTGTGAACAACGACACAAAACCAGTTAAGGAGAAGTCGGAAATTACAACACTCTCAAAAATACGTTATTACTGAAGTTACAGGATGGGAGTGAAATAATGACACGATGAAACGTCATGAAACGTTTACTACAAACTGAACATTGGTCAACAGATTGGAATAATTACGCACCGTGTTTTTAATCTAATGGATAATGAATACTGTTGTGAATCGATTAATTCACAATAATAGCTACTAATGATTGTTGTGTACATGTTACTAGAACGATTGATTTAGTGATCGTTAGCCCTGTTCATACTGTCATACTTTCCCAAACTATAAATCATGATATCAAGTACACCAACTCCGTTATCTGTTGTTGGTATAGAGTCTTTTACAAATATGAATTTTTCCAGGTTGCTCTATCTCATTACCACGTCAATATGAAATTAGAAATGTGATTAATATACAAATCGAAATAATGCAGTAATAATAATAAGGAAAATATAACATTGAAGATTTGGTAGTGAAAGACAGAATTAAAAGGTATCTGTGAAGGAACAGGGGAACCAAAGATTTGGAGGAAGATGAAGGGCGAATGAACCTGTGCCTTTGGAATCGATCATAAGTTTTTTCGTCCAATGTTTTTGAGTGCTATGAGAAGGTCACGTACTTATATCTAACTTCATATACTCTTCAACTAAATTATCGGTAATGAGTTAGCACACTAATGGTTCATGATGATCAAATGTTGAGACAAAATGTTTGTAGGGACAGTTTATTTATAGTGTTCAGTTCAAATCATACGAGCAGTATGCAGAACAGTAAATGAATCCTGTTTTAGTATTTCGCAAGCGAATCTGCTTTTAGATGAAAATGAGTCATGAAACGTTTCAATCAACTAATATTTAAACACTGGACGGCCATTTCGACCCATCGTGGACTCCTCCTCAGCAGTGTGCATTCACGATCCCGCGAGCAGGATAAGTAATTCTGATATAGTAATTAACGACAACCAGATATAACAACAATTGGTGACACAGTCATATCAGTGTCTATATTATTCAAACTAATAGTCTTTTTTGAATTATATCAGGTATAAAGCTTTACGAAGACTAATGAAATAAGATTCATATTTATAATGTTCGGTTACTATCAGTTCAAATGTGTTTCTTAATTGATTTTGTTGTTATTATTACTGTTTTCTTTATTATTAATGTATTCTATCTAGACATTTGTGTAAAACAACTTTTCAATTTTCAGCAAAGTTTCTTATATACTACTCATTACTATAATTTCATTGAATAGAAATATCTATTGTGTACACGAGTCTTTAATGCTTACATATGTCAAACCATCATTGTCAGAAATGACATAAACAAATGCATTAGAAATTATACCTTAGTTACTGGTAAATAAAGGTCAATTTTTACAAGTTCTTTAATTAATTCACCTAATTTGTATATTATACTGTAATTACTGGTAACCATCAGATGACAGTTGGTTGTTATTGGAAACAGATCTATAAAATATAAATACATTATCCTATTCATATTACTTGTAAAGGCTCTATTCACTGAAATAAGAAGTAAGTATCATATTATATATATGCTCATACTGTATTAATAAATTGTCACTATTCAACTGACTTATACCTGTTATCCCTCGTGGAGGAACATAGGTCACCTATCTGCATTCCTCATCGAACTCTGTAGTGTTAATCATTAATTCTATGCATTTGGAAAACCAATGTGTGGGATTATTGGCGTACAACTTTGAGCGATGAGTCACTCAGCTCGTATGTCGATGGAGAATGCCGCCAATTATGTGAATCAATGTGAACTGCATACTACCTTGAACATCGAAATCTTGAACGCGTATTGCAGTTACGGGATATACTGTGACCACGCCTGATCAAAGGTTGGCTTTTCGTCTATTACAACGCACAATTAATCGAGGATTCGACGAGTACCTGCGAGCATGTGTACCCCTATATCATTGTGGGTTACTAGTCAAAGGCTCCGTTCTAAGAATTCGGCCACAGCTTAGCCCGGTCTAGATGGCTTGATTGTGATGCTGTGGTAGGTTGTGCTTGAGTCGTGGCTTAATGACATTATACACGACCGGTGAAAATCTCTCTTATCGTATGTTACGTTAACTAATTGATCTTGTTTGTACGTGCGGTTTATGGTTTATACTGATAGTATGTGTATCACACACGAATTATACAGTTGTCCCTGACTTAAGCATATCACTAAGGGGCGGAAAATAAACTAACAAGGATTTCCTTAGTAACTGCGAGTGAAAAGTGACTAGCCCAACACCGAATCCTGCGGTGAATTGATCGTGAGGCAATGTGTTGCTTATGTTGGCTTCAGGCTTACTATCAAATCATTTAATGTAATTCACTTTCAATTTTAAAAAGACTTCCACTCAGATAACGGACAGAACTTTAGATTTCCATTCTTGAAGGAATTTCACTAATTATCAGATGTCATGATTGTATCGAGTTTTAATTTTTCATCGTCAATAGTGTTTTAGATGTTTAGATTCTGAAGTTATTTTGGCTATCGTTTCTCTTGTCTTCATTTGCATTCCTCTCAATGATATTCATTGAATTGATCAATAATTTCTTAAGTAATATCACTATGTGTAAACTATCAGTCGAAATGACATTTTCACAACGTCAACACTCGTACATACTTATAATTGAGGCTCAACATATTCCCTGACATGTAAGTGTTCTTTTTTAAGATAGTGGTTGGAAGTAGTCAACTGGGAACCGTGGACCCAGATTTCGTGGTACTTGGCACTCGTCAGCAAGGTGTACCTGTAATCTTGAGGTAACTGATGCTCCCTGACAGATTTGATTCCGTGTCACTCAGCTTTACAGTCAGAGACATTAACACTGAGCTATCCGGTCCGCGACTGATCTCCTGTAGGACTGAGATTTATTTAAAATTGATTGATCATTGGATGATGATCAATGTCATGTGTGTCAGGTCCTTAGTGCAGATCGAGTCACCTAGACTAGTGAATATATTGCTACTTGTTCGATAGGATCCGATCTTCACTAAGAAGGACCTGACATATATGACATCGATCACTACCTAGTGATCAATCAATTGAGCTATCTGATCTGTTAATTTATTTAAACACATCTTATTTTCTTTAATCACAGGTGAATACATTGAATCATGAAGACAAATAAATCGCGAACAATCAACTTACTGACATTTTTAATCATATTTCTTTTGATAATCAGTTACTGGGAATTGACACAAGCGCGAAAATCAAAATCATCAAAGAAAACAATAGTTAAACATAGTACTATTCATAAAACTATACACAAACACTCTAATAAACAACCTATAAAAATTCCTCAACAGAATCAAAGACAACCACAACCTAAACCATATAATTACACATATCAACTTCTACAAAATATACAACCATTAAAAACTATTAAAAGGCAATTAAGAACAAATATGATCAGAGAAGAATCGCAATCATTTAATACACAACCTAGTTTTCATAAACCCTATGAAAGATTAGATAATTATCAACAATATAATAATTACTTAAATGAAGAGGTACCCAATGATGAACAAGCTGGATATATATTACAACTTGGAAATTAAATAATGACGCATAGTAACTTCAATGTTTTATTGATTAGTTTTCAGTTTCCCTATGAACTAATTAAACTGCATGTATACTGGTGATTCCTTAAATCAATGATTGATATTTATGTTTGTACGCATTTAAATATAATTTTATTTAAACAATATAAACTTCCTTACATTTATTAATTGAATTCATCAGTCAATTGAAGCTAGGTCACCATAGGAAACCTAGAGGCACCAGATGGCCGTTTTATCCTAGTGCCGGACTCCTCAACAACGCGCATCTACGACCCCATCTCGCCAGATTCGAACCCAGGACCTATTGATCTTGCGCTCAATCACTTAACCTCCAGACCACTGAGTCGGCTAGCATCGAACGGTGTTAATGTCTAACTCCAACCAATCTTACATTTGTTTTTATTCTCTTCTCACTTTATTTTTATTATATAATAATGATTATGTAACTCAGTGTAAGTGAATTATATTGAAATAATTGAAGGAAGATATTTTTATATATCATAAAAATAATATAATATTCTTGAGTTTAACAGTTGATTTCTCATATGCAAAGTAAAACTCATCTAGAAAAAATGAAATTTGTCAAAGTATTGCTAGGGTTGAAGCTATCACGAGTTCACTTAATCTAAGAACGAAAAATCAAGACTCGATGACCAAAGACCAGTAAGCTAGCTATTGATGCGTCCCAGCCCCACTAACTAGAGGGAGAAGTCCAAGCTTGGAATGGGGAAGTATATTCTGCAAACAGCCAGAAACGACCGATAACAACAAACAATTCAAAACGTATATATACAGTACAAAACCGTCCTTGGGGAGAGTTACCGAATAGCATACTAAAAGACGCAACGGACCAATAGCATTTAAGATATTTCCCAGTGGGAAATACGACATGAAGGTGACAAGAGCACCTTTAGCGCAGAGACAAATAAATTCAAATTTTCCAAATGAAATTACAAAATTAGGTCCTTTCCCAAGTGAGTTCTGGGGATATAACATCCCCAACAAGTATACATTATAATAGATTTTCAGTGTCAGTTGTGGCATTGAAATTGAATTGTTTTAACTATATAAATCAGGAATAACAAATATACACCATATATAATTAGATAAGATAGTGGTTAAAGGTATTCAACACCTTGCCGACGAGTACCAAGTATCACGTAATCTAGGTCCACGGTTTGCTGTTTAAATTTTACGGTTTCCTGTTGACTATCTCCAATCACCATCTCATCTTAATATAGTGCACACAATGTCGAGTCACCTAGACTAGTGGCCACCTTGCAACTTCATCGATAAGATTCGATTTGAACTAAGAGAGACCTGACATATATGACATTGATTACCACCCAGTGATCATGCAATCGTAAATGCCATGCATATTTAATGATGAAATAATTAATGGCTTTACTGAATGAAAATATCAGTCATGTAAATTGGTTATTGTGCTTGTGAAGTGGATATTACATTTTTTCAAGTAATGTCAACAGCAAATGTATTTAAGGTTAACAACCGCAACATTAATTGCACGGCGGTTGTGTTTCCTCACCACTCACTGATGAGAAATTTTAGGGTGTGATTAAGAGAAATTAGAAATTAGTGATTGGTGAACCTGTTTTTGAAAGTGTATACTCAAGTGATAATGAACAAACATTTTGTCACCTGTATTATTTTTTTAATTCAGTATAGCAGCAGCCCCAGCAGCAGTAGGTCTCAGCATACAAAAAGGGAAAAGCAAGATTTTAACTTCTGAAAAAAATATAAAAAACAAATATCAACTATATTTCACTACCCTGCTATACTCCACCATCGGTTTGGAATCAGAGTTTTTTAACTCCCCTAGGTTGACCCTCCACGTCCACCAACCCGGTTGAAGCGCCGGACATTCGCTTGTCGTCCTCTCAATTTCGTAAACAACACCCTCACCACGAGAAGGCAGTGAGAAGGACTTCCCTGACAGAAGCTATATACGCGTGACCACATGAGCATTTCGAGAGGGAGAGCAGACTCTCCCCACTCTCGGCCGTAGCAGGGCATTTGGGGGCCCTATTTGTGAATGTATATCGGGATAAATATTTTTCGATAAAGTATATATGGAACTGAAGTCGCTAGTTACCATAACAAGAGTAATAATATGTAGATCATTAAGAGAAAATTTAGGAAAAAAAACTGATAATTGTTTTTTAATAGTTAATAATAGTGACTACGGAAGTTGAAAGTTCCGTTCCCATTCTTTTCTTATCGATCTTTTACTGATATACATTCTATGCTTGATCACTGTTATATACTACTTATGTGAATATAAGTAGCCCACACCATAAAATGTTTAATACACAATTAGTAAACAAATATTCATCTAAATATTTCTATTAATTGTTTTGTTTTTAACACATGGTAAACTCTTTTCATAAACGTTATATGAATACAAACAATTACTTGATCACTTGGTGATAAACAATGTCACATGTGTCCAATCTCTCTTAGTGCAAATCGAATCCTATCAATCAAGTTGCAATACTGTTTAGTTTAGCTTTAAAAGAAGGTATCGTAAATAAACTTAAGATTGTAATTGTGTTATTTTGTTAATCCATTAATAGTATAAATTGTTTTGAACTGTATATTGTACATTTTATGTAGCTGGGAGGTTTATAATTATGTCCAGAAAAAAAAAGTACTTGACTGTGTATATAGTCATGTAAATGGGTTATTATACTTGTAAAGTGGGCATTGCATTCTTTTTCACGTAATATCAACAGCAAATGTTTTGTAAGTATGCCCTCTGACGGAATCATGTCATTTGTAAATGAGATCGCATACGTTATTTATTTAGAAAGTCTGAAATCATTTATCAAATCATTAATTTTCTTTATTAAACATAATAGACGAACACTTGGAGGCTGAGCAAGATTGTAAATGTCTTAGAGTCTGTTAGTAAGTGAAGCGAACAATATTGAATGCTGCTGTCCTGAAAATCGGAAGTGGTCGTACTGTTTCAGCCTCTGTTAAGCTGAGCATCCAAGAATTATTGTCGTACCTCAGGGAATTGCACTCATAATTGTGACGAACATTCCCATATACAACAGTCCAGTAACCTTCAATAAACTTACAAAAGATGAAGGCCGGACATTGAGTGTTCATTGAAGTCCTTCATGAACAATATAATAACACTAATCAAATTATCGGCTATGAGGAACCGCTATATGTTCTACTACCGTTTCTCCAACATACAAATTTAATATACGGCTTCAGATCTCTATGGAAATGTGAAACTCTCACCACATAACGGCAGTACGTCGCTTTTTCATAAGTTCCGATGGCGCTTTTTAACGCTTCAAGTGATTCGAATGCTACGAGATATAATGTATTCAAAAATGCATTATCTGTTTCTGTGATAACGTGAGAAACGACAGACTCTTGTACTTTGTATGTTACTATCATCCATAATTTGACGAAAAAGTTCACTGCCGACAAGTACTTACATTTTATATCCATTTTAAGAAAATATATAACCAATTATAACGAATTCAAGAACTAGCCATTTAATTGGACGAGACAGAATGAAAAATTTGGAAAATGAAAAACAAAAGGTACAAAAACCGCCGTACGTTTATTGATATTCTATGTATAGATGCTTGAATCTTATTAATTGATTCGACTCTCAATTCACCTCTGTATTCGTACACTCACATGAGAACATTAGCTTTTTTGTTCGAATTCTCTTGATGTGCTAATGATTCAGGGATCTGTACTATTCAATAATAAACTGCAGTTAAGGTTAGTTATCCAAATGTAACCTTAAACATATTTTATTCATGTATATATAATGGTATGTTTTTGTCAATATTCTTGTATTTCTTACATGATTTATAAAAACTAAGTCACTTGGCAAGACTCTAATGTATGGACGACCTTTGAAAGAATCATAAATGTCTTTGAGACATATTAGCCAATCAGCAAACAGTGTAGAGTAAAAATATGTCATACAAAACCAAAGAGATGAAGTGGATACACTTCTTATATGTGGTTCAAAAACTTGTCAACGTTAGAAAGAGGTTCAGAGGTTCTAAAATTGTAAAGCATGCAGTAGAGGAAATCATCCATACGGTTACAGAATAGTAGGCCTCTGGAGCCATGATAAAGTCTCAAAAACTCTTTCAGCCTCGATCACATAGCTTCAACATTGTTTATGTGCACTCCGGTTATTGAGTGCACAAAATGCTACTTGTGGATAACGACACGATGCACATAACCAAGCCTATGTAGGAGTCTGTAGGCTCTCCAAACATCCGTATATATTGTAGTACCTGGCTGCAGCCAGTGTTACTGGTGCTTTTATTATCCAGTTCTCAATAATTGTCGTAATTTGCCTTAGTTAGGAATTATATATGGGGTTCTCATCACGAAATAACATCAGCTATAATGCCAGAAATTTACTTAGCCAAACGAATGAAAGGCTTTCGCGTTAAAATCCGAGATCTATTATCTTATACCTGATTGATTCGTCCACAAATTATAGTCCCGACGTTTTATTTGTTATAGCCGCTCAATTATCACGTTTTGTACAAAATTCCCTGTGAACCGATAGTACGTTAGCATTAAGCACTAAAGTTGGCGCCGTAACCTTGAAATTTCCAAAACGCTCCTGATTGGCTCGTCCATAAATTAGAGTCTTGCCAGTCACTTGATTGTTCTTTGAATGGGTCTATTACCGGACTTCTGTTCTTTATAGAACCTCTGCATCTATTCTTGCTAGACTGATGAAATGAATGTCTAAACTATAAACAAACGAAACACTAGTATTTTAACTTATGATCTATCATTGTACTAAACTCGTTAGGTCAACATAATTGTTTCGTCTTCATATGGAATGATTGTTGATCGAATCAGCTGTACAGAGCTTCCTCGATATAGTGATTATCTAACCAGTGTGAATTCGTTGAGCGAAACTTGGAAACAACCTGTTTGACACGATATTTTTATAGAAAATTGGATCAAGTTCA